TTAGTGACTGAGAAATCAGGACTCCAGCATGTCAGCGACCAGTATTGGCTCAGGGTAAGCAGTATGCCAAGCGGAGTGGCTGACGTGTGATACCTGCTGGGTGACTGATGTGCAGCACGAATCCAGACACTGGGTGCGGCTCTCGCCCCTGGATAGGCTGGATGCCTGAGCGACCTCAGGGGTTCTCAGCGGCTGGGGCTTTCCCTTGAGTTCCTGCGCTGTGCGGGCCTCCTAGAGGTGTTTACTTTGGCAGCGACCCTTCTGGTAAGCAGCGTGGAGAGGAGCAGGAGGTTCATGTTTCGAAATAGTGCTTGTTACCTAACCCAAAGCCCATTTTCAGTTGCAGAGGTTGGAGGGAGCAGTGGGGTTTTTTTGTAAAGAGGTCCTCCTAGGAAACCATTTTAATAAAGCAGGGTGGTGGTAACCCCGAAATGCACTGAAGTTCAAGCCCGTTCTGCTTCTAGATGACGTGCTGTGTTGGCTAAGCATCTTTACTTCTTTTAGCCTCAGTTTCCTCATCTGTAAATAGGGACATAAATTAGTGTCCTCTTGGTGGCCTGGGTTATAAGGATCAAATGAGATAATGGTTGGGAAAGCACTTCGAAAATGGAAAAACATTGCCCAAATATTACCTTTATGCATTGTTTTTTTATATAAAAAGCCAGGGCATGACCCTCTGTATTGAATGCTGTGGTTTTAAGGAGAGAGAAAAATATATCTATTCTCATGGGTGTCCTGTAAAGAAAACAAAAGCTAAACATGATGTAAAAGGTGGAGCCATCTTACCGGGTATTGGATTTTTGTTTGCTTTTCTGTTGGCAACAAGCCTTGTGTACCAGGATATTAATGAATAATTAAGATCCTGGCCGGAAGAGGAGGGATTTGAAAGATAAGGCTGCCATGATCTATCAGGAAAGAATTCTTCCAGGTACAGGGGTCTATTTTGTGAGGAGATGGGAAAACAGAAATCAAATTGTTGCAGCTAATTCAGGGGCAGCAAAATGGAAGTCTAGAGGAAATCAAGTCGTGTGCTGTGAGTAATAAAAAGCCTCTGAGAGAGCTGAAAGCTTGAATGTGAATGAAAACCAGAGCAGGAAGGTGAGAGTGGGCTGGCCTTTCTGCCAGCGGTGGAAGTGTACATGCGTG